CCTACTCAGTTATGCGCATGTTTTTTATGCATATTTTTAAAAGGTATGTGCATCATGACGTTTCCATCAATCGTTTTTATGCACGTATCCAAAATGAGCATTAAAATAGGTGGGTGAAAACCAAGCGGCAACCTCCCGCTCTCTCTCAGGAAGCCAATACGGAAGTAACTAAAACTGCAATTCATCCGAAATTCCGCTAGTCCTGGCTGCTCCTGGCTCCAAAACAGAGCAAATTTCAATTGAGTCCACTGTTAGAATGGCCAACTTTACAGCAGAAAAAAAGGTGTTTACAGCCTGGTACAAAAAAAGATTTTGGTTAATACAGCTAATATTACCCTTCATGACAACTGTGAGGGGGGTGAATTTTTTTATAACTCATCCGTTTCCTTTATATTAAGTTATATTAAGTTTGCATAATTAAGGGCGTGGCCACTTGAGTGACAGCTAGGTCTCGTTGGTCGCCGTCACGTCACCTTAGCTGAATCCTGCAGATTAGCCACTGAACTCGGCATATTTATCGTATTTCTGTGTTGTTTTATGTGGCTTTACACAGTCGACTGTCTTTTGGACTTTTTTGTTTCCTAAAATTATTAGATGGCATGGCATGCTGAGTGCATTTAATTGTGTTCACAAACCATTCACGTGGCCTCCGTTTCCCATGTGAGTAAAGTTATATACTTATATACCATCTCTATACATGTATTTGTTTTATTTAAGATCATTTATCGTTTATATTTATATTTAGAGCTGTAATGCACTCCAGAATCTGACGAATTGATTAGCTGTAGGCTCTAGAACAGTCATCTGAAGCGTTGTCATACAGTGTTATGCTGAATTTCATCAATAGTCCCGCATTAACTAACACAGACTATATCTGAAGTGTTTGGAAGTAATTTGCGTTTTCCTCCTGTTGAAAAACATCATAAGAACAATGTTTAGTGGCTCAATGTATTACAGCAGTGTTTTTAAAAGACTAAACACTTTATTGATATAGTATACAACCAAGCACAAGTGGTGAGAACACAAACGAGTCACAGGTGATAAAGTATTAAGCGTTTCTCCCAAAGTAAAGTGTGTCTGAACCAGGTCCAAGCAAAATGCAGCATGCGTCTGTAGCTCCGCTCACTCTCCGCCTCTTTGCCCTTGTTTGGTATCCCGCCGTGGGTGTGATGACGCGCGAACAAAATGGCGACGGTTGGCCGCGCCTACTTGTGGCTTCTTTTGCGCTCTGTAGAAACCTATGGGTGACGTCACGGATATTACGTCCATATATTTTACAGTCTATGATGAAAACGTAAGGCTAAGGCGAAAAATACCGCTTTGTCTTTAAAAAAGGGGAGGAGACCGACAGAAACTCTGAGTTTAGAGAATAAAACCTGCTCCTGACCAGGTTAGGTTCACAGAGTAAGTTACCACAGTAACTCACTCGGAGTTAAAGTTACCTCTCTTTCAGATACAGGCTTGACTTACCCTGCTTTCTCGACTTTAACAAACCTGCCATTTTGAAACGGAAAACCCAGAGTTTCTTTCATTTCAGGGTTAAAATACTCTTTTAAAACTCTAAGTTTTCACTTAACCTCCTTTCTGAAACAGGCCTCAGATATTAAAGGCACAGTATGTGATTATCGCTGCTAATGGGTATTCACAACAAACAAAATTGCATTTTGATGACGCCGTGACAGATAATAACAACAACGAAAATGTATTATTTTATTATTGATGACTATTATTTACTTAAACTCAAAGCACTACAAGATACAAAAATACAATAACAAATAAAAATGCAGAGACTAACAAACTTGCATGATAGTGAGTGTGGAATCATAGGAGTTTTCATCTTTATTATTATTATCCAGTAGAAATCATATTCATGGATGAGCTAAAGTATTCAAATCTTATTATCATGGTAGTATAAAGCAGAGTATGACTGAAAGTTATTAAAGCAAAACAAAAGCGTTGAATATGCTGTTAAGAGTCGAGCAAGCGAAGCTTTTATCATGCCACAATCCAACACTTCTGGTTCTTCCACTCATGATCCCATGGAGAAGAAGCAGTGCAGTTTAATCATTCTAAATACATTTATGAGTTCTGTTATAATGCTTCTCTGTGCTGTCTAATAAAACACACAACATATTAAATGTCTTTCTTAGATGTCTTTCTTATTAAATGTTTTCTAGAAATCATACCGGTAATCAAGAGTGTGTGACGGCATTACCATTATTTCTCAGGATTTGAACACTCTTTAAAACAGTTGGGATAATGCAAGTATATAGAGTCAGCTAAATATAACACTGCTCTTTCTTTGTGTGTAGATATTTTACTGAAAAAAATCTGACATATTATGTCTTTAAAGGAATAGTTCACCCAAACATAAACATTTACTCACTCTTAATTATCCCCCAAACTGGAGTTTCTATATTCAGTTCTAAAAAATCTTCAAAATGTCTTTGTGTGTGTGTGTGTGTGTGTGTGTGTGTGTGTGTGTGTGTGTGTGTGTTAAACAGAAAAAAGTTACTCATAATAGTTCACAACCACTTGAGGGTGAGAAAATTTAAATGTTGACGTCATATTTAAATCTGATGACCCTAAACTCAGATGTAAACATGGTCTCATTTCAAACCACTGAGCACCACAGAAGTCCACAGGAAAAAAAGAGTCACTGGATTAACAAATATTTTGGTTTTGGAAAGGTAAGTGGTTGCAAACAATTTATATGTGCTGAATTTAAACAAACAAATTAAGTTGAACATTAGTAAATTTAATTTGTTGAAATTCGGCCAAAGCAGGAGCTCTTCATGGATCATCCAGCGGCCCCTGCGCGAGGGGTTTTGGCGCCTGATCCAGACAGCAAGAGGAGGGGGAGAGAAAGAGAGAGAGAGAGAGTCACAGGCCGGGGAATCTGTGGGTTAGCATGACGTCTCAATAGAGGAGGGCCTTCAGAGGGCCCAATTCAGCCCCGGCACCACGTGCTCAAGGAGCGTGGGAAAGAGGCGAGCTTTTCTTCCCAGCAAAGAAAGAGCCAGTATCGAATAACAGGAGCGCAGAAGAGCCGGGGCGGCCCGAACAGAGCTAGAGCTCCTACTGCAAGAGGACAAGATTATCTCCTGCTAACGCAAACACACTCTGAGACTCCCGTTCAGAGAGGACACATTTAAAGAGACACACCGCAGGTTAAAAACAACACCTTTTCACACACACCTGACAGATTTGGGGCTCTTTGGCTTTCGGAAAGTATTTCTTTCAGTCTAATGGGAAGAAAACCTCTGAAATAAGCATTTAAATGCTTCTTTTGTCGCACCTTATCAATTAAAATGCATATTTTAAATGGCCAGTTTCTGAAAATAAGCCATAAATATCCACCTCCGCAGCTTTTACTTGTAGCAAACTTTAGATTTATTCATATGATTTTATACAGTTCAACAACTTTTTCATAAAAAAATAAATATAGTTTTAATGTTCAGATTTTTGTGCTAAAATGTTTAAATATTACAGTGTCATATTTATACACAATTGATTTGTGTTCCGACAACATAAAAAATTAAGTGATTAGTTTTTACTAATTCAAGTTTATTGAACATAAACTATTAAGCTGTCCCAAAACAAATTAAGAATTGTGTTGTTTCAGCTCATTTTTAATGAACAAACCCCAAACGTCCTTTTTTGTGGAAATTAGCACACATTTAATTAAATAATGCATTAGTATTTGCATATTAAGCTTAAGATTTTTGAAAATTTGTACAACAAAAAAATTATTTGCCGTTCTGGAGGAGTTTTGGTGATAATTATATGACTTTTTCCACCCTGTTCACCTGCAGTGTCTTGTTTTACACAGGACTTAGACATAGCTTTACGCAACAAGGACTGAGTGTTTTCAGCCCATCCTGTTATGAACTCACAAATCGTCCTCAAAAACCTGGAAGGAAAACAGTGTCTGGCACCAAATCAGCAGTGCAGCCTTTGGGGAACCCAGGCAGATTTTTTTTCTATAGTTTTGACAGATTTACAAATGGAGATATGACTTAAGACTAAACATAAACAGCGTCCAAAATGTAGAGCAAACAAAACGTTTTGTTGGTTCTCAGAGATAACTGTGATAGAGATAACATGCAAAATATTATGGTAAAACTTAGCAAGCATTTATAAAGAAACAAATAATTGAAAAAAACTAAATGAAAAATGAAGCAAGTGTCATTTTGTGGAGACAGTGCAACATTAAACTTATTATTCAATCGTTTTATAGAATATTAGAATAAAAGTCTTACATTTTATGATTAGGGCATTATGTACAGTTGAAGTCAGAATTATTAGCCCCCCTTTGAATATTTTTTTCTTTTATTAAAAATTTTCCCAAATAATGTTTAACAGTGAAAGGAAATTTTCACAGTATGTCTATGTCTGATAATACTTTTTCTTCTGGAGAAAGTCTTATTTGTTTTTTTTGTTTGTTTTTTTGTTTTTTGGTGAACAAAAGCAGTTTTTAAATAATGTTTTTTTTTATTTCAAGGTCAAAATTATTCGCCCCTTTAAGCTTTTTTTTCTATAGTTTACAGAACAAAACATTGTTTTACAATAACTTGCCTAATTCCTCTAACCTGCATAGTTACCCTAATCAACCCAGTTAAGCCTTTAAATGTCATTTTAAGCTGTATAGAAGTGTCCTGAACAATATCTCGTCAAATATTATTTTCTGTCATCATGGCAAAGATAAAATAAATCAGTTATTAGAAATGAGTTATTAAAACTATTATGTTTAGAAATGTGTTGATAAAAATCCTCTTTCCATTAAAAAGAAATAGGTGAAAAAAATAAACAGGGTGGCTAATAATTAAGGGGGGCTAATACTTCTGACTTCAATTTTATATAAGAATGTTCATAACAAAAAGAAAAAAAATAAGCGATTTACATAAAATTGAGGCCTAAATAAATACCGTTTTACAAAATCCAGCAACATTTTTTTTAATAATAATTGTGAATTCTTTCAATTCTTTCATAAAGTCATATTAAAACACTTAACGCTAATTTATTGTGTGAACATTTTATGAGTAACAATTCTTGGAAATATTTTAAGGCAATACGTACATTACATTGTGGAAAACAAATGCGGATTTTACTCTATTTTATAGAACTGTACAAAATAAAATTTAAAAAATGAAAATGTAATGAAAGAATGTGCTCAAACCAGTCTCATTTTACCAGCAAATATTTTTAAAAACAACAATTTATTGACAACTTAGAAGGTTTGCTAACATTTTATGTACAATATATTATTATACGGTGTAAAACATTCAGTTTTACTGTAAACCAGAGTAATAAACAAGTTTATATGCAAAACATTAAATGAACAAATGATTTGTCATTAAATGAAAGTCTTTTGAGCTTAAAATTTATGAAAATGAAAGATTCTGTCAACTTTTTATGACATTAAAGAGTCTAAAACAAATTTGACAATTAAAATTGTAGGGAAAAAAAGTGAATTAAAGCGTCTTGTCATTTTTGAAGGCTCAATTCCACGAAAGTCCCATTTTTAACTATATGATTACATAGTATAAACTACATGCAGAGCATATTCTTTCAAAAAATAAAAATGGCTTAACAGGATTTTTGTAAAAAAAAAATCATTTTGTAAATCCTGTTTTAAGCATCAAGTAGATAAGTGTTTCTCAACCATGTTCTTGGAGGACCACCAGATCTCCACATCTACCGTGTCTCCTTAACTAAACACACACGATTCAGATCATCAGCTCATTAGCAGAGACTGAAAGACCTGTAATGGATGTGACAGACAAAGGAGACATATAAGATATGCAGTGTTGGTGGGCCTCCAGGAACATGGTTGAGAAACACTGAAGTAGATTACGTCTTGTAAAACAAATTTACATTACACCTCCAAAAAAGGGTTAAACAGGATATTTGCACATAAAAAAATAAACATAAAATCATCCTGTTGTAAAATATAAAGTATAATATTGTGTAAAACAAATTTACACCACAGACTTGATAACAACTCGACCAATTTTCAGTGCAAACCACAAAATGAAACGGTTTAATTGCAGCTTTTGCACAGCTATAATGACATCGTGCAGCAAATAAAATTTAAAAAAAGACTAAAGAAGAGTTGAGAAAGAGCTGGACACCTGTGATCCCAGCCTTCAGACGTGCAGGACCTCCTGGAACTGCGACAGCACCCGGTCGAAATGAGTGCCTTCCCAGAAGACCTTCCCACAGCCGGTGCAGATGAAGTAGACAGGGATGCGGGGCAGAAGGCCTGGCGGGACTGTCTCGAGCTGCACCTCTGCTCCACTGGGGAACCTGAAGGTCTGGGGGTCCAGGTCTGATCGAGGGGCCCAGCGGCAGTGAGGAGTGAACTGGGGGCCCTCAGGGGGCCTCCAGCTGCTGTACTCTGCCTGCGTCTCATGTTGTGGGACACAGTCATCCCGTTTGGATACGATGTTCTGAAGAAGACCTGATGAGAGAGAGAGAAAGAGAGAGAGAGAAAGAGAGAGAAAGAGAGAGAGAGAGAGATAGAGAGAGAGAAAGAGAGAGAAAAGATGAATAGAATCTAGTCATCTTATAAACTTGATCAGAACCTTTCATCATAGTTGTCCTAAAATCAAAATGTGTTTAAGTTCTTGTCTTGAACACTTATTTTACAACTCCGCTACAGTTAAACAGTTGAATTTTACCATTTTTTAATCCATTCAGCAAACCTTCGGGTCTGGCAGAAGCGCTTAGCTTAGCATAAATCATTGAATAGGATTACACCATTAGCATCTCGCTCAAAAATAACTAAAGAGTTTTGATAATTTCCTATTTGATTTAGACTCTTCTGTAGTTACATTGTGTACTAAGGCTGATTAAAAAGTTAAATTTGACTATTTAAAAAAATGTATAGGTTGTTTAGTAACTATACTCTTAATACTGTGTTATAATAAAGGAACTTTGATTCCGTACCATTGCTGCAAAATGTTAAAAAATGAAGCTTTTCTTTTAAAGGGATAGTTTCACCCAAATATGAAAATTCTGACATCATTTACTCACCCTTCATTTGTTCCAAACCTATTTAAGTTTCTTCTGTTAAACACAAAACGAGGATATTTATAAAAATGCTGTTTGCTGGAACTCATTGGCTTCCGTAGTATTTCTTTTTTTTTCTATTACGGAAGTTGTTGCATCTCAGCAACCAGCATTTTTATAAATATCTTCTTTGTGTGTGTAAAAATAGAAAAAAAACTCATAAAGGTTTAAAACAAAATGAGAGAGAGAGAAAAAATAATGTCATTTTTATTTAGGGGTGAATTTTTATCCCTTTAGGACGTCTAGGTGATTTTTTTATCCACTTTAAACACTGACTATTGTATTTTAAGGCAAGACGCTACAGAAGAATGTAAGAAAATTAAAAATTAGTTATCATTATACTTCCCCAGTTCATTATTTACATTAAGTAAAAATTTGCAAAGTATGTTTAAAGATGTTAATCGTGTATTGTGTAATAACATGTTACATGTTTGCATGTACAGAATTATTAGCCCCAATGAATTATTAGCCCCTCTCGAATTATTAGTCTCCCTGTTTATTTTTTTCCCTAATTACGGTTTAACAAAGTGAAGATTTTTTTCAACACATTTCTAAACATAATAGTTTTAATATCTCTCTTCTAATAACTGATTTAGTTTATCAATGCCATGATGAAAGTAAATAATATTTTACCAGATATTCCTCAGACATTACTATACAGCTTAAAGTGACATTTAAAGGCTTGACTGGGTTAATTAGGTGAAGTAGGCAGGATGGGTTATTAGGCAAGTTATTGTATAACAATTGTTTGTTCTGTAGATTAGCGAAAAAAAAAACTTAAAAAGGCTAATAATTTTGACCCTAAAATGGCTTTTAAAAAATTTAAAAACTGCTTTTATTCTAGCCGTAATAAAACAAAAAGACTTTCTCAGACATACGGTGAAAATTTCCTAGCTCTGTTAAACATGATTTGGGAAATATTAAAAAAAGAAAAAAAAAATTGAACGGGAGTGAATAATTTTGACTTCAACTGTATATGTGCTAATTTGCACACAAAAACCTGAGAATCAGATTGGGTTTAGTTCCAAAGATTTTTTTTGTTGTGTTTTTTAATAGTTTAAAATAAAAGTTTATCAATACCAAAAGGGTATTTTGGCAATCTGATTTTATCACTCAATAATTCAGAAAATCCTGTGAGCAACACGAAAATCTGGCTAATCCAATTATTGAAAAATGTAAAATAATTTTCAAACATTTTTCTCTCTCAGTAAATTCTTTAAAATGTTGATATGAACAAAAATGTGAATGTATTGTAGTTGCAATCTACACAATCAAATTAAAGAAATAAAGCAAAAATTTATAGTTTGAATGTCATTAGAGTGAAAAAAGTATGAAAAGCCCAAAATTGACAGGTGCTGCGACCGTTCAGTTAAAAAGTTACTCATTATTAACTCAAATGTTCCTTCTCCCAACCCTGTACGAGCTTCTTTTTTCTGTTACCATATGAGGAATATATTTTGAAGAATGTTGGAAACTGCTGCCACTGACATCCATAGTAAGGAAAACAAAATAGTATGAAAGTTAATGGCTTCAAAACTTTCTTCAAAATATCCTCTTTGATGTTCATCAGTAGAAATAAACGGGTTTCTGCTAAATGGAGGATAAGTAAATATTGACAATTTTCCATTTTTGGCTGAACTATCCCTTTAAATGCTAAAAATGGATTTATCTGCAATAAATCTGCAAGTGCATGTACATCTGTGTGTCGTGTTGATGTGGGAAACAAATAGAAAAGGAGTGTGAACCTCTCTCTTTCATCATGCGTGTCATTTCCTCTCTGCTCAGCTTAAAGTACTCATTGCAGTTGCAGGCCTGGAAACAGGTGAGAAAAAAAACACATTAATTTGTAATTAAATTTTATGACACAGTTCAGCAATAAGATGTTAAATCAAGTGCTACAGTAGTTTATAAAATCCCTTTACTATGGTAAAAATGAAAAGACCACATGAAATCTCAGTTTCTCAGGATTTACTCACTTTTTTTAGGTTTGGATTTGACTAAAATATATTTGTTTTATTCTAAAAAGCTTTTATAACATTTCCTTAAATTTCAAATAAAACTAATACTAATGTTCATTTCTTCAGAAATTACTGTTGTTTCAAAACTAGAAAAATATTTCAGAGCAATTCCAGTGTTATGGATGTGACATTTGCAGTAAAAACTCAAAACATAGATTCACATAAAAAGTACGTTAACATTATATTAAAACATCTGTTTATATTTTCCAGAACTGACCACAAAGTTATAGGATCGGAAAAATATCAATCTGTAAACATGTTTTGTATTTTAAATGAGGAAAATAAACATGCGTTATGGATATGACCAAAAAAGTTTGCGAGTTTGAAGTACACAACATACTTTGTAGAAATTTTGAGAATTAAACTGCACAACCCACAAGAAATAAAGATAATCAAAAGGATAAGAGGTGGCTCACTATAGAACAAAAATGATTGATTTTATTTATTATTTTTGTATTTATGAGGAAAAAGTGTCGTTATGGATATTACACTTTTCTGTTATGGATGTGACCAATGTAAAATTGCCACTTGTGTGACTTTGTTATATCAATATAATACTTTGAAAACACTGACAGACATTTTTGAGTATTTCTAAAGTACTGTAAAGTACAAGCCTACACAAAAAACTTAGAAATGGTTTCTATATTTTGGTGAAAACCTCATTTTTTCATGGCAAGATTGATATTAGCATGGAATTGCTCTTCCATATTTTGTGAAAATCAGGGTTATTCCAATAAATACAGTTTTTTCTAACTCTTCTGACGTTTGTATAGTGTTTTCTAAATGTGAACATAAATATGTCTGAAAAATAAACCTAAACACTCTTCATAACTGCATTTTTATTTTCAGTTTATTAGTTATTATACGTGGTGTACAGGAAACTGGATTTTCAGGTGTTTTTTTTATAGCTGTATATGTATAGGCTATTCCAGCCTCATAAGGAACTTACATTTCCTACACACTTGAACTTAAGTCAATGTGATCAATTTGGATTATTAAAAATAATGAAACAAGAATAAACAAATGTACTCAGTGGGAGAAAGAAGTATTCAACTTGGTGATAACGACTTATTAAAGACGCCTCTCATATGGAGAATGAAGTAACATGCATTGCTCTGGTGTGATTTTTTTCACAGACTTCAACAGAGTGTAAAAATCTTATTGTCTCTGTGGGTCTCGTCTATCAAATCTGAGCTTGATTTTGTATTGGATTTAAGTCAGGTGATTGGCTGAGCCATTCTACAGCTTGATTTACTTTCTCTTATAGTATTTAAGAGTGTCCTGTATTTTGAATCGTTATCTTTCTAAAATGTCCACCCTGGTTTCATCTTAATTATGTTGATAATGTAGGTTGAACTGAGGCAGCAAAAATTAATTTACAATGACGAAGGGCAGAGGATTGCTGAAGAACTACTAAGTGATTTCAGCTGCTGTCTGGGCTTTCACTGCTTTTCTACACCTCCCTTTCTTCATGTGTTCAATACTTTTTCCCTGCATCATTTTATTTTAATATGCAAAACTAAATTTGTAAACTAATATTTTTTGTTTTATTTTCACAAATGGATTTCATAAATGGACTGTAGTCAAAATTCTGAGAGCATTTCAAGTCAACAGCACCTTTAGAAATATGATTTCTGGGAAAAATGGTGATGTGTTGAATACTTATTTCACCCACTGAATGCATTAAAAACTTGTGTTCGCCTAAAAACTATTTAAAGCATTCACAGATACAATACTGTTCAAGATATTGTTCAGGAACAAAAACAGCAAAAGTTTTTTTTTGTTGTTTTCGAAAGCCTCTTGCTGTAATTTCTAAATAAATAATAAAGCAAAAATAGGAATATTATGAAATATTATTGCGACTTAAAATAACCATTTTCTTATATAAATATATATTTGAAAATGTAATATATTCCTGTATTTCAAAGCTGTAATTGCAGCATCATTACTAGTCTTTAGTCACACAAATCTTTAGAAATGTATATAACATCATTAGTTGCTGCTCAAATGAAACACTTTAATTATTATCAGAACTGAAAACTGCTGTTGTTCTGCTTCATATTTCTTTGAAGAAATTTTTTAAAGACACAGAAGACAAAATATTTTATAACGAAGATATTTTGAAGAAAGCTGAAAACCTCTAACCCCTGACCTCCATGAAAAAAAAACAAATACTATAGAAGTCAATGGTTACCGGCTTCCAACATTTTTTAAAATATCTTCTTTTGCGTTTAACAGATGACTATTTATGAAGATATTTCGAAGAAAGCTGAAAACCTGTAAACATTGACTTCCATAGAAAAACAAATACTATGAAAGTCAGTGGTTAGAGGTTTCCAACATTTTTCAAAATATCTTCTTTTGTGTTTAACAGAAAAAAAGAGATTCAAACTTGTTTGAAACAAGTAAATGGTGAGTAAATATGACAAAAGTTTCGGTTTTGGGTGAACAATCACAAATCCTATTGGTCACAAACATCTGATAACAAGTATATATGCACGCACGCACACACACACAGCGGTAAATCACGGGTTCCAAACTAGACACATTTCAAACAATCTGTTAATTCCCACGCCAAACTCTCTCATGCACGCACGTACACACAACGTCTCACACATATGCATACGCACACACACAAACACAGAGTGGGGCGAGGTGTGAGGTCAGAAGTTTGCGTGGCCTCTCTTGATTTCACACCTCAGTGCTGCTTCTGTCTCATCCTCATTCCCACCCTCTCAAACAACACACAGGCGCTAAAAGCCTCGTCATTGAGTGGCAGAGAGACCGAGCTGCTGAACGTGACGCCTTCACACCACACCGACAACTCATCTGACTGAAAATCCTCTCACAGGAGTCAAATGAAAACTCTGTCAGTCAATTTTTCATGTTTCTCCACATCCACTTCTGTTGATGTAACTGTGAATATAAAGAGACATTATAAAGCAGTTTTTTTCCTTCTGCTCAAATTTGGTAAGTGACAATCAAGCTCCAATGAGCTCCAAAACTACCATGCCAATATGTGTGACTGCAAAATTATGACTAAGATAAAACTAAAGTTCCCCAAAATTAAAACGAGTTTTTGGGGGGTTGGTATCAATATGCTATGCATTAAAGGATAAATAAATTATGTTTACATTGTAAGTTTACACATTTTTATCTTAACTGACAAACCAGGGAGAATAATATAATATAATATAATATAATATAATATAATATAATATAATATAATATAATATAATATAATATAATATAATATAATATAATATAATATAATATAGGGGCGGCGCAGTAGGTAGCACTGTCGCCTTACAGCAAGTAGGTCACTGGTTTGAGCCTAGGCTGGGTCAGTTGTCCTTTCTGTGTGAAGTCTGCATGTTCCCCATGCACCGCGTTCGCGTGGATTTCCTTCGGGTGCTCCAGTTTCCCCCACAGTCCAAACACATGCACTATAGGTAAATTGTCCGTAGTGCATGAGTGTTAATGAGTGTGTATGGATGTTTCCCAGAGATGGGTTGCAGCTGGAAGAGCATCTGCTGCGCAAAACAATTGCTGGATAACTTGGCATAAAAAGAAAAGATAATATAATATAATATAATATAATATAATATAATATAATATAATATAATATAATATAATATAATATAATAAATGCAAAATTATGACTTTAAATAAAATACTGCAGAAATCAAAACAATACTTTTATTTAATTTCCATAAATCTGCTAGTCCTAACTAAAAGACTATGCACAAATCATGGGGAACAAAGTTGATTTAAGTGACTTTAAATGTGGCTTAATTGTTGGTGCCAGAAGGGCTGGTCTGAGTATTTCAAAAACTGCTGATTTACGAGGATTTTCATGCACAACCACTTGTAGGTTTTACAGAGAATGGTCAGAAAAAGAGAAAATATCCAGTGAGCGGCAGTTCTGTGGGCGCATATGTCTTGTTGATGCCAGAGGTCAGAGGACAATGGCTAGACTGGTTCAAGCTTATAGAAAGGCAACAGTAACTACGCAGAAGAGCATCAACCTTGAGGCAGATGGGCTACAGCAGCAGAAGACCTCACCGGGTGCCTCTCCTGTAAGCTAAGAACAGGAAAAAGAGGCTACAATTTGCACAGGCTCACCAAAATTGGACAATAAAAGATTGGAAAAACTTTGCCTGGTCTAATGAGTCTCGATTTCTGCTGCAACATTCGGATGGTAGGGTCAGAGTTTGGCATTAACAACATGAAAGCATGGATCCATCCTGTCTTGTATCAATGGTACAGGCTGGTGGTGGTGGTGTAATGGTGCAGGGAATATTTTCTTGGCACACTTTTGGCCCATTAGTACCAATTGAGCATCATGTCAATGCCACAGCCTACCTGAATATTGTTGCTGACCATGTTCATTCCTTACTTTGGGATGTGGTGGAACGGGAGATTCACATCATAACATGGACAATATGGACCAAAATCTCTGAGAAATATTTCCAGTACCTCCTTGAACCTATGTCACGAAGGATTAGGGCAGTTCTGAAGGCAAAAGTGGGTCCAACCTGGTACTAGTAAAGTGTACCTAATAAATTGGCCGGTGAGTGTATGTATTACATTAAATGATTACAAAACATTCTTTTACCCATACTGCCACAATTCCATATTGCCACATTTTTTTATTTAATTTAATGTGACTTCTCTTTTTCCCATATATGATGTGTGTGTGATGAGCACAGGTGCCGTCTCAGAGTTTCAGTCTGATCTCCTCCTCGTCCCACACACTGAGCTGGCGGAGTGGTTGAAGAAAAACAATACTCT